GCTGGAAGAGGCGCATGGGAGCGGACAAAATTAAAGTTGTCAGTTGCGCCGGTTTGCCAAACGCCACCGCCAAGGAGGAAATCATCTTCACATCTGCGTAACGTGCCGAATTACGGGCAAACGCGGTTCCACGCAGAGCGACCCACGACCACGGCCAAAAGAAGGAGACATTTGCCGCTTGCGGTTCGAGACACGCGACCGCCCCGGTTAATATTGGCGGCTGTATTAACCATAAACGAGCTTCCCAGTGGACTTTAAAGATGCTGCAGCGTCATCCTGACGAGATACGAAGGCTGTGCTGTGTGTGTGCGCTGGCGGCACAGTCCAAACGTGCCAACAAAGAAAAACATTTCACAATCTTCACAATCGGGGAAAAGTCAGAGGGCAACTTCTGGCCATCTCGCGCGACTACCGCAGAATATAGCTGTCCGTGAAACACGGCGGTTTCGGCACAGAGTTGCATCGTAATAACTTGTGCGAGTAGCTTATGCGCTCTGAATTTGTTAATATGGGTCCAGTGTCCAATATAAGTATGATTGTCTGTTCGTAGTTCCCAGATTTTGCGCGCACAATTCGGTTCAAAAGTGTTTAATGTTGCTGCTGCCCCAAAGTATGAGGAACCATCTAGTTTGTGGTTATTGGCATCTAAATTTAGCCATCTCTGTCCTCGTTTAAACCGACGCCATTAACATCACTAACGTTTAAGTGTGAACGTACTTTTACAACATAATTGCCACAATTAACTTTGTTTGTTTTCTAAATCTGCAATTGTGGAATGCTTTGATGTTGTCTGCTGGCCGAGTGGCCCCCTTTGAAAAGAAGAGCTCCTTAGCTCAAAGGGCTTAACTCAGTGGGAAATACAACTTCTGTTCAGTGATGATCATCACCATGAGGAGTCAATGGTCAAAAATTACTGAAATGGGCAAAGCCACAGAGCACCATCAAAGACAAAGGCCGCCCAGATAGCCTTAGCAGACTGTTGGGGCAACTGCTGTCAACTAGCAACACCCATGAAGGCCGGCACAGGACACGAGGGGGGTGGGTGGCCACCACCACGCCAGGCCGCCTTTGTCTCCCCAGTGGCGATGTTCACACAACGCGCCAGGTATTCATTTGAGGCCGAGTTGACCTAGGGGAGGCACAGGACCGGTTCAGATAATCGTCACCAGTGTCGTAGCGCAGCACAGCGCTAACCGCTGCACTCCCGCTCCCCCCTACTGACGGACAAGACTCGTCCGAGAAATACAGCGCGCGTTCGTGAGAGATTGGCACTAACACCAAACGTACGAAACGATTACAAATCATCCAAAACCGCTGAACCCTTCCAACACGGAGACGCTCACCTCTCCCCGGGGCCAGGGCAAGCGCGCACACGGAAGAGTTTCTTTTTTTTACAAGAACAGAAATCGATGCATTTATTTGTTTTGTCTCCGAGACACAACGATGACAGCGCGACAGACCGGGCCCTACGCCCGGGGGGCGGCCTCTCGTGGCTCGGGAGCCTTCGAAATGGGAGGCAGCGAATATACATCGCAGCTCGTGAAACTGGCCCGGTGGCAAAAGCCACACACGCGCACACACACGGCCTTAAACAACCGGTGCTGCGCTGCAGTGGGGAAAACAAAACCAAGACTGATGAAGACGTGACAGCTGGCTTTTTTTTATTATTACCCGAGCGATTACCAACTCGCTGCTGCAGTGTAATGGTTAGCAAGCTGGATTTCGCAGTCCAGAGGTCGGACAGTTCAAACTCACAACTCGCCACGTTGGTAAGCTTATTAAATCCCACCCAACCCTCCTGACCCAGCAGTGTAAACGGGAATACCACAGTTTAGCCGATCAGCGGGCCATGGAAATATTTATTTATTAATACAACTTTTTGTTAAATGTTTACCAGGTAAGGCCCACTAGCTATATAGAAGCGACCTGGCCTACAAATGATAGCTCAACGAAGTGACTTATCACGTGGAAACGTACAACAGCGAAATACTCTTAAACGCAGGTTGATTCTAAATGTGAACGGAAAAACTGGAGGACCCAGAGAAAATTCACGCGACCACGGGGAGAGAAACATGCAAACTCTAATTACACATCATGGTCGGGATCAAACCCACGACCTCCTGCCACCATGGGAGAATATAACCACCATGTGTGGTGAGGTAAACTGTGGGTACTCTCACCACTTTCAGGATATCTGGCCGGTGTAGAGGAGGAGGTTAAAATGCCTTCTACAAGGGCTCTCTGGAACTCCCCCCTCCCCCCCATGCCCAGTGGAGGCCCTTCCAACAGCAAGGGCACGAGCAGGAAATTGCAGGGCTGCATCTTTAGCTTCTGCTACACACTTTGCACTCATCGCACAGCTCCGTCAAATGTGCACGTTACCTGGAACACGTGATCTTCCTGGAAACCACCGTATGTACAACACGCATTGTGGACACGTGATTACCATCAACATTTGCTTCAGGAGCAAAAGACTTTGGGCGAGTTTTGACTTTCTGAGTCGCATTGGCAGGTTCAGGGTCTTCCTGTCCAAACAGACGCTGCTGGAAAAGTTTGATCCAGAACCCCTGGACACCGATGGACTTGAATATTATTTAATTAGTTTTTTAGTGATCCTATTGTAGAATTACTTATTTATATTATGTTCTGCATTCTCAATCTACCAACACAGCAAATGATCCATAATATAGGTGTTTTTATTTTTGGATTTTATCGCGTAAATATAAAAGTGTCGTTAACCCCGCTACCACCCAACAGAGCCAATTAGTAAGGGTTGTCACGTAAACAGAACGTGCCAATTCGTTACTTGTACAGCGCACCGGTGTGTTGGAGAGCAAATCCACAACATTTACAATCTGAGTACGACGTTTCGCCAGTAATTACAACCAGCTTCATCAGGCGACAGCCAGATTTGTGGCGGGCTTAACGATACAATAATATTCACGCGATCTAACCCAAAAACTTTATTATGAATAATATTGGTCGCGAAAGTCTACGTGTTAAACCGAAGTTCAATAGAGCATGAGGCTTGGCTGAAGAATGGGACTGCTGACAGTATGGCAGCCAAGAGAGAAGGACGCGCCGCGAAAGGTGGAGCGGTGAGTTTATTTGTTTAAGCGCACAGCAGCAGTGAGATGGACTCTAGCACCATAGGGCCAATGCGGAATGGAAATGACGCAAGGAGGCCTTCATCCAGCTGTGGATCGATCATGGCTGATGATGTATGCGCGTTGAACTTCTTTCGCGCCGTGATAATCAGAGGTGCCGGGGAAGGACAACAAACCAAGCATAAAGAGCAGTTCTAAAGAAATGAAAAGCAGTTCTAAATCCTAATGTTCATCATCTTGATGATGAACATTATGATTTAAAAAAAATCACGTAATGGATGTATGGCATCGTGTGGCTGTATATATATATGCTTTGTGTATAAATATATAGTAACATATGTTTGTCTCTTATGCAGTCGCTGAAAAATGCGTTAGTCAGAGGAGCAGAACAATTTCCACATGAGTCATGTGGAATGACATGTAAACACAAGGGGACGCATGCCGAGCGATGTGCTGCGTGATATTTCCCCTGCGCACCGCCGCCGATCTCTCCCCGCGCTCCGAGCAGCGCGTAGACCGCACATGCTGCCCTTATTCCCAGGTGGACCAAAACCAGGCGGCCGCGTAGCGCGCACGCGGGAGATGAAAGGGCGACGTGCCGGCGTAAACGAATCGCCGCGGTCGCTCTCTTTCTTTTTTACACGTTGCAACAGAAATGCAATCTGCGACCGCACACGTGCACGGCCACCCTGCTCCGTCTGCCTACGCGTCCGCGCTTGAACCGCGAACGCGCAACGGAGCGGATGAACTTGAGGCGAAAATAAAACACAGCGGCGTTCGTGCAACTCATCGGGGTGTGCGCTCAGAGCGGTGCTGGGACGAGTGGTCGATCAAGTCAAATGCTTACCCCGAGCTCTCATACTCTGATGGTGCGTTGTCTTTGAGTTGTGCGCCTTTTGGCGTCATCTGGTCCAACCCATGTGAGACGAAGGAAAGCTGTCTCGGGTGTGGACCAATCAACTTCAAGGACAGTGCACATTATCAGAGTTATGTTTTTTGTTTGCATTATGACTGCAGGTATTGTGGTCTATGCAAGCATGACTCCTTGTAAAAAAAGGTGTCAGTTTTGTTGCCAGATAGAAGGGTAAAAAAACAATTATCGAGTCAAACCAATCGACTCTTTTTCTGTTATCGAACGCTCGCGGGTGTACACGCGGCAATGGGACGAGCCGTCAACGGAAAACCAGCGCACGAACTTCAGAGGAAAAATAGCAAAATAATAGATGTCGGCGTGGGAGGTAAAGAAGGAAGGCTTAGCTGAACCTGCCTCTCCCTAATCTCGCGACTGGTCGCGGGAGGTCACAGAGAGCGAGCGGAGCTGTGCCCGTTGCAGTCTCGTAGATCGTCGAGTGCTGGAGGATGCAGGGGTGGTGTTCATCCTGGGGCCATTCCTGGGCAACGGAGTCCGCCTGGAAACCGTTGTGGAAATGTAGCAAGAGACTTTGGACCCACAGACTTACGTATAATCACAATGGACCCGGAGGCTAACACCAAACTCACAAAAAAACGTAGAGGCAGGGCCCACGGACTTAGCACCAACACTATTGTGCCTGGATGCCGTGCCTTTCTCTCTCAATGCAATTCCACGGTTGCACCTCTCCACACGTCGCATTACGCTGTCTAAGTTTCCGTTCCATTTGCTCAGCCCATCATGCTCGCGCGGTCGATAAAACGAGACACCACTTCGTGGGGGACCGTCACCAGTTTGCTGCCCTACGGGAGGGCCCCCGTCCCCGCCACAGTAATGCGGGAACTTCCACCGCTGGCCGAGAGAGGGCCGCGAGCGGGAAGAGGAGAAACGCCGCCCCGACGACGCCCGTTGGGGCGAGCGGCCACCCCGACCCGTCCCCCTTATCGGAAGGCGCTGGGCGGCGCTTGCGTCGTCTGTTGCAGGCGCGGGACGAGGTGATCGCCGTGCTGAGCGGACGCGGCGTGAGCGGCCGTCAGCTGGAGGCGCGCTACGGCACCCACGAGCCGGCGGCGGCGCTCTCCGCCCTGCACCTGGCCGCCACGCAGGCCCACGATGCGGGGCCAGCGCGACGACTGTCTACGAGAAGGCCTCCGCCGGGGTACGCGCGGCGCGCTCGCGCACGCACGGGTGGCGTCGCTTCCGTCGTTCCGCGTCCACTCGTGTCTCCCGTGTTCGGGAGTGGGAGTGTGTTTGTGCACAGCGGTGGTGTGGCGGTTAGCAATCTGCGCTACGAACCTGGCGACCCGAGTTCGATTTCTGATCACGGCCAGAACGGGGTTTGGTACAAAGAGCTCGCTGACAGCACTGGCGCCAACAGCCTGTTAAGGCCTTACAGGGGCCTCTTTGTCTTCGTGTGTGTTTGTGTACGTAGATTTGTGTGTCTTTGTTTTTGTGTGTGTATATTTTGTGCATTTGCGTGTGTTATGTGCGCGGTGTTATATATCTGTCAGTCATCTCCGTCAGTTAGCCCACAACAGCCGGGTCTGTTCCATGACCTTCTGCTACGCAGTCTGACAAATTTCACAACCCTGCCCGCGGTCAAACAACACTCACCAATATCTGAACTGGTTTTAGGAACTCTGTAAAGTCGACTCAACCTTTATATAAGTACCTGGTGCGGGGTATAATCATCAGCACTGGCGGCATTAAGACAAATGCTGGCCGGGTGTGGCATTGGCCACACCAACCCCTCGTGCTCCCTACCGGCCCTCACCGGCGGGGATACCTTCCGTCTTTCGTCTGTCACCTGCTTGCTGGCACGGACGCACGGATGGACGAACGGATGGATAGACGGATGGACGGACTGACGCATGAACGGAGGGACGCATGGATGGGACAGATGGTTGGACGGATGGACAGATGGACGCGTGGATGGACGGACACACGCACGCACGCACCGACGGACGCTAACCCTATCCGCGCCGTCACCCACAGCTGGAGCGCATGGTGGTGCGGCAGAAGGAGACACACCGGCGCATGCTGGAGCAGCTGCTGGTGGCCGAGCGGTGCCACCGACGCACGCTCTGCGAGCTGGAGGAGGAGCGCAGGAAGCACGACGACTACATGGCCAAGAGCGACGACTTCACCAACCTCCTGGAGCAGGAGCGCGAGAGGTGAGGCCACCGGCGCCGACGGCGCGACGTGGCGGGGCCGCTTCCGCGACCAATATTATCATCAGAGGTTTTTTGAATCCTTCTATTTAAGACCGAAACAGGAGGATGGTTTATCCACAACTCTGGCTGTCGCCTGATGATGATGGTTGTTGTAATTACCGGCGAAACGTCACGGCACTCGAATTGTAAATGTTGTTGTGGGTTTACTCTCCAAGACACCGGTGTGCTGTACTAGTAACGAGTTGGCACGTCTTATTAACGTGACAAACCTTGCTAATTGGCTATCGGGTGGTGGCCGGTTTAACGACACATTTGTAATTAAACGATCTAACCCAAAAAAAGCCCCATCTCTCATGGAAAAAATTTTAATAATTATTGTTATTAAAAAATAAACAATGCGTCTTGCTGCGATGCCCTCTGCTGCCCACAACGCCTGTGTACTGCACCCGTTTCATGCACGTGGTTTTCTCCCGGAAAGTGCGCCATCAATGCTCAGCCCAGATTAGCCTCCAGGATCTGACGAGACTTGACCGCATCCCGCATTATTTGGCGGCAGGTCGCGATGACGCGCGCGACCGTTAACGGAGGATAGAGGAGAAGGGGGGGGGTCAATGAGGTCATGAGGTCAACCTCTGTAGACGGCAGAGTTTGTTACGCGGGTCAGCAAACGGCGACAAGGGGGGCGGTGGAGGTCAGTGAAGTTGTGGCTACATTTGCATGCCAGTAGCTTTGACTGCCCGTGGGCTGGAGCAATCGTGGTGGGCGGAGTGCGCTGTGAATCCGGCAACCCGAGTTCGATTCCCGGCCCCGGCTATAGTCGAGCGGGGAGCGATATTCGAACCGGTCCTGGACACCACCCCTTTGACCAACCCGCACTGACAGCGTGGTGAAGTACGGTCAAACAATCTCCATGACCAACTTGGGGAGGCTTACATCCACGCAAATAAAATCTGGGCAAAAACTTTGGTTCAAAGAAGTGGCGTTATTGCAACTTCTCAATGGGGAAAACCCAGTCACTCGAATAAGGTCCACGAGTTCGCCATAGCAACTACCGTTCCCACAAAGTTTGACAAATATTGCTAGCGGATAGCTCCTGCTTTTAGGTTTTAGAATAACTTTCACGACGAGTGTGAACGTGACCTGGGCTGTGCAGAGGACCTGGCGACCCGAGTTCGATTCCCGCTCATGGCCAACACCGGTGACGATTATCTAAACCGGTCCTGGGCCTCCCCTAGGTCGACTCAGCCTCAAATTAGTACCTGGTGCAGTGTGCAGTAAACATTGCCACTGGGTAAAGGCGTCCGGGCATGGTGCTGGCCACACCACCCACTTCGTGTGCCGTGCCGGCATTCATAGGAGCTCGCTAACAGCACTTGCTCCAACAGTCTGTTAAGGCTATATGGGGGAATCTTTGTCATCGTGTGCGCGCGTGAGAAAAAACATTCTCGCGCTTGGGATAGCTGCTCGGGAGGCGAGAGGTCGCTGCACAACCGGGATCGGTGTTGCCGCACGTGTTACGCGCATTCAATGTTTGATATTGGACTTTAAAACACACACACACATGCTTGGCTGAGTCGCATGTATGTGTTGGGCTTGGTACCGCTCCCTGAGGCTCGGTGCCTCGAGGTCAGTTGGACCAAGGGAGCATTAAATCCCCGAGTCTCTCCCCGGCACTAAACAGACAAATCCAAAGAAAACAGCTCTCGCCACCCACAACTCCAGGCACAGCCACTCCACATTAGGACCGGTTGTGCCTGGAGGGTTCCATTTAGTGCGGGGTGGCGGAGCGGGGGGGGGATACTGGCACATCAACCACCACCTCCCCCCCCCCTCACACACACTCTGCGAAGCATCACACTTCACGAGGATGCCTATGGTGAGGCAGAGGTCGCAACCGGGTACCCGATACCCGTACCCTACCCGATACCCGGCTACCCGTACCCGACCGGGTATGGGTAGCCGTTTGCGACCATGGTGCGGCCGGGTACAGGTAGGCCGTGAGTCACTGGTGAGTAACCGTTTGTCACTCATTTCGGGTAGGGTACGGGTACGGGTAGGGAACGGGTACCCGTACCCGGCTGGGTACGGGTACGGTTACCCATTTGCGACCCTGGTGCGGCCGGGTACGGGTAGACCGTGAGTCACTGGTGAGTAACCGTTTGTCACTCATTTCGGGTAGGGTACGGGTACGGGTAGGGAACGGGTACCCGTACCCGGCTGGGTACGGGTATGGTTACCCATTTGCGACCCTGGTGCGGCCGGGTACGGGTAGACCGTGAGTCACTGGTGAGTAACCGTTTGTCACTCATTTCGGGTAGGGTACGGGTACGGGTAGGGAACGGGTACCCGTACCCGGCCGGGTACGGGTACGGTTACCCATTTGCGACCCTGGTGCAGCCGGGTACGGGTACAGGTAAGGAATCAAAACCCGTTTGCGACCTCTGTTGTGAGATAGCAACAATCCACTGTCACACACAGGGGCCCGAGGGTAAAGAAATTCGTGTCCGTTCCACTAGGGGTCATTCCGCTGCACCCTTGGCTGTGAGCCTTAGCGGCGGACGCTGGAGGCCGTTCGTGCAAAGGCAAAGATCCACCGTGTAATCCGCACAGGCTGTCAGGGCAAGTGTTGTTGGCGAGCACCTATGAAGGCCGGCACGGTGGGGGCGAGAGGGTGCAGTGGAGGGCATTATGCCTGGATGCCTTTGTCTCCCCCGTTGCTGATGTTTATCCACCACACCAAGTACTCACTCACGGTTCAGATAATATTAGCCGTGAGTGAGAATCGAGTACGGGTTCTTAACTACCGCGCGACCATGACCCACATCGATACGACCACGCACACACGCACGCACGCACGTACACGCACACGCGCGCGTTACAATACGAAATGCACTTCTGGAGGCCAAAGGACAACATTTAGAACTGGATGCCTGGCATAGAAACTCCAGCGCAGATTTAGTTTTTCCCCTTTACCACCAGGACTTTAAGACTGCTGGTGCTGTTGTGTGTTGTTGTTGTTGTTGGCTGCTTACGGCCATCGCTCCTGCTGTTTGTGCGGCCACATGGTTCTGCTTTCTGGTCTGTCTAATTTCGAGTGATAGAAGCGCGCAGGTAAGTGGCATTGTGAATGACGCGATTGTATCAGGGCGGCATTAAAAAAACGGCCCACGCTTGCATATACAAGCGGCGTGAGCGGTGTATAAATTTAACAAACCTTATGAGCAGCACAGAGGGAATAATCAACTTCATGGCCAATGAGCTTTCATGGTGCGTCAGTATTTTCCGCTGGCAATCGTGCTTCGCAAAGTTCTTTAAACCCATTTTTAGTTCACCATTAAGTCACCCTGAAGCAAGTATTCACATATGAAACTCCTCTTATCCGCACTGATATGGGGGAGGGGGATGGATTCTGTTTACAGATCCTATTATTCGTGACATTTTCCCGCAACCTTAATTGTTTTTCCTGACACTTCGGGGCCTTTCCTCTTTTCGCAAGTAGCCACGGTTAACCGGGGCATCATTGCCACAATTAAAAAGGGGTTCCCAAAAAGAGGTTCTGGCCACAGATAACCGGTCACGAAAAATAGCGTTGCGGACAAGATGGCGAGATGTTAACTACCTCGCCTGGTATACAGAAGGTCGTGGGCTCAATCCCGACCACTGATGCCTGTATTTTAGGAGTTTGCGTGTCTCTCTCTCCGTGGTCACGTGGATTTTTCTCCGAGTGCTCCGGGGTTTCACTAAAGATTTAGAAGCATGCGTTTAGAGTATATGGCTGTTATAAATGTCCACAAGATGATCAGCCACTTCGTTCAGCTATAATTTGTGGCCAGGTAGCTTCTGAAAAAGAGCCATGCAGCTCAGTAGGCCTTACCTGGTAAAAAAAAATTTGTTTAGTAATAGTTTAAAGTACAAGCCTCTCCACAATTCATGATTATAAAAATAAAAGATGCTCGGATGACAACAGTTGAGGAGAGGCTGTACCACTGAGACAATTACTCATCGCTATAATCCGTGTCGGACTCTAATGCGTCTTCTGCAGACACGACCGCGATCTACAGCAATGGCAGAAATATTTGTGCTGTCCACAGGAGGATTATTGCGTTCACAAACGTTGCTTTTGTGTTCAGGACACATTAAAATCAGGGCGTAATGCCGCCTCGAACATGCCAGTGGTGTTTGGATAATCCGTGACATTCCCACACCCTCGAAAATAACTGGGCTGAAGACAAAACGTGAAAAACTGCACGTCAGCTAGTTTTCTCTCTGGGATTTGGTCCAAAGAGCTCGCAAAAACCATTGCGGATTTTTTTTTTTAAGCGTTAAAAATGAAGTTACAATAAATCCGTGACATGCCGAGGTGTGGGATGTAAGAGTGCGCGTGTGTGAAAAAAAGGTGCTCAAGTTTTGATAAGCCCTCTCTTTATAAAGCAGGCTGTCGGCCAAAACATCGCCGCCCTTATTTTGTTTCGGGGGTACATATCACGGCTGCAAATTCCCTTTTCATTTTGTAATCCTCACCGGGCGGTCGGCACAATTCCCCGGGCGTGTTCACCGACACCTCGACTCAGCGAGAGCTCTATTTAAAGTGGTGTTACCTCACTGCCAAAAGCAACACCGGCCCAGTCCACAGCCAGTGTTGTACATCGGCTAACGTATCATCATCATCGTCGTCGTCATCATCGCCGTCGTCAGCCATGATCGGTCCACTGCCAGATGAAGGCCTCTCTCTCCAAGCCGCCGCCAGTCGCATTCAGAGTACGCGGAATGGTCAACGTGCCAATACACGACAAGCTAGCACTGGCTTGTGCTCATCTCCAATGCTTGGTTGTGAAGTCTCGAAATAAATTTCACAGCAACCAGTTCATCCACCGGCACAATAATTTTTACTTCATCATCGCCACCTCTCATGATTCTGAGATGTAGAAATCCAATTCAAAACCTACGCATGAGCTGACTGAATCGATCCATCTCTTCGGTGCACTTGCCATTGGACGCGT